GGTGTTGAATTTTTATTTATAATGTAAATATTACTTATTATTTTAGTTTATTTTGAAAATTAGTTTATGTATTTATTTATTTTAAATAATAGAAGATTTTGATTGAACCGTTGTCTTTTAATTTTTTAGGTGATATATAGATTTCCATATATTACCTTCTATCATGTGTAGGTTAAAACATTGGAAACTTTTGTACATATCTAATATATACTAGGGTAGTGCTGAAATGTTTCCGGTGCGAGCCATTTCATAAAATCTGGCCTTAATCTTAGTAGCAAAGCATGCAGGGTTTTAAAGCAATTTCCAAGAAGCTGATAGGTATAAAAGTTTTAATCCTATTGGGGGAGGGGCAATTTCGTTCTTAAGACTTTCGTTACTAAAGCAAGCAGACATTGTTTCATTGTTTAAAAAACAGTGATATCTATTCAAATTCATGTACCCACTAACTATAACGTTTATTGTAATGTATACTGTGCGTATATCAATAAGAAATAATCATGAAGAAAAAAGCGTTTAGTTTACACATTTATTTTTCGATCGACTTTATGACATTTATTGTCAATGCATTTAATTCGGCGCTCCATGACCATCGTCTTATACTTTAAAAGTCGTTGATGTTTGACGAAGGTGAGAAAGAGTAATCACTCTCCTATAACTACTTTGCTGTCTGGGCTGGAGTAACAGCAACATGCTGTAACGCCTATTGTCACTGTTGCTAGTGGATAGACAGTTAATATATTACACGTGTACACACCCTTAACTCAACCCATAACAATGAGATTCACTCTGTACATTGGCCAAGTGCCACTCGAGGTAGTTAGAGTAAGAGGCACTATTTATGAGGATATGTGGGAAGATAACGGTTAGTCCTAGACTTGAACAGGTGAATAAGATTGTAGTCCTCGGGATAGAATCATTTTGGGAGTCGGTTCCACAAAGCAGCGGTCCTTGCGAAGAAGTTTCATTCAAGCAATTTCTTCCTACGGACCGCTGCCTTGTGGAACCAGCTTCCAAGATGGAATACAAAGGGAATGAGGTTCGCTATAATGTGCATGTGCATGGCATGGCAGGTCTTATCCATGACGGTTAGAACTGGTGGTACCAAAGAATGTAGTCCGTTTGAACAATAGGAATATATATGTTCACCTATTGCCCGGTTCACTTTCTTTCTCCGTCTTTTGAACAGTAGATTATTCACATTTTCTCTCACTCCCAGTAACCACTTGCGTCTGAGTGGCATTATCCCCTTGCATGGAGTGAAATGATTAAAAAAAAAAACTTTCCATGAAAAAAGTAGCGAGAATCTTGCATCGTTTCGTCTGTGGGAAAGGGGTTGTAGAGTGGAAAATAATTTATCACCCACAAGGACGCGGAGACGCTTTTGCACATTATCGAGACTAGAAAGTGAAGATTTTGCAGTTTCTGTTTGTATATAGCAGTAGTAATCCATTTTCGGCTTGATGTAGCTCTTGTATAGGTAGACAATAAGACGAGCAGGTACTGGAGTGATACAAGGAACCGACCATTTTTCCAATATATTTAGTGATGGATTGTATGTATGAATTCCACTTGAGATCTGGATTGCGTTTAAGTCCCAATAGGGGCTCCAGATATGGTGCCTCCCTGAGAGAACACTCGTTTATTACGATAGGTGAAAATTTAGCGTCCGCTTGGTATAAGAAGTCACGATGATTAATCTTATAAAAAAGGAGTCGCCTCAATGCGAACGATTCTTTCCTTAGCTAGATAGTATGTGCTTCGCCAGGGCTACATACAGCTTTTGAATTCAGTGTCTTCTTTCTCTTAGTCCGGTTGTCACCCAAGTCTATAAAACCAGTCTGTCCTACTAGGGGGAGAAGAGTTGGATTCAATACCTGTCCCAAGGGTATTAGAACGTAAGTGAATGTAATGAACTCGACTGGAATTCGAACTCGGCTCTCCAATTCCTCAATCCGAGTTGCAATCTATTTACTCTACCGTTTTTTAAATAGACGTCCAATCTCATAACTATAAATACATATTCAGATTTTTGGGCGCAAAGCTATATAAAAATGTGAGGCAAGATTATGCAGCGCCAATCCTTGAATTAGGAAAAGTATGTTTTGTAACTCAAGATTCGATATCTTTTTAGGTGACTTCAGGTGCCAGCCACAAGCCCCGGCGTAAGATACGCATTTACGTCAGCAGATTATCCATTTATATGGAATGAAATAATGAGGGATCTGCGCTCACCTGTTGATAAAAGCTTGAGAATCAATGTGCCATTCCTTCGGTTGACCATTTATATCCAAACCAGCAATTATGGATACAAGTCCAGATTTATAAAAAATTAGTGATATTCGCCACTTTATGACCACATGGTTTGAATGATAAACTGGGAGATTATGTAGTGTCAATATTCCAAGTTTAAGTACATTTGTGTTACTGCTTGTCTATAAGAATGCATAAACAAAACATCAATACTATTTACCACAAGATTGCAAGTGTAGTGTGCCCAATGAGGATCGAACTCTTTACAGTAGTTATAATCTGCCTAACGAGCTTATTAACCATTTCTATGAATCTCAGGTTCCTGTCTACAAGTCTAGAACACTCGTTGTGGATCGAATTTACTTTTATAATAACAGTCTGATGAATAATTACTCCACAACTCGGAGGCCATATAGATGTTCAATAAACTTAGTTTAATGTGTTACAAGGTCATAAGTTTGGAGCACGAAATGAAAGCCTGACCTACGATAGCAGTAAAGTTCCAGCTCTGTAGACCTGCATACATCACAACCTCTCTTGTCGCAGCGGTCGGATGATATTGTTATTAAATAGCAACTATATTTACTAACCATAAATGGAAAAGCTTACTACAATTCAGCGACCCCAGTATTTAAAAAAAAAATAATGTGTGTGTGTGTGTGTATAAACGTACCGTTTTTTTTTTTTTTGGGGGTATTTTTCATTTTTTATTTTTATTTTTTGTAAATACGGGCGTCCATACACAACATTATAAGAAAAAAGTGTGGTAACTAAAGTAAATGTAAAATTTATTGGTAATTTTCTAACATTTGCTCAACAAGCGTCCTCGTAAGACTATAAAGCCAAATACCTAAGATTCAATAAAATATTTGAATGCTTAAAATATTTTAAAATATTAAGATTACTGGACAGTTAAAAATAATAAAAAAACGTATTCACATTGTATTCGTCATGTAATATTACTACATTTATTCCCCACTTATATAAGTCACACAAACGTCAAGTTATCGATAGATGTGTCAACACCTCATCAAAACACCCACGCGTTAAAAAAAATGCTTATATACGATATTTGAAACTAAAAAGTAAGTAATATTTGTTTGGATTCAAATTAATTACACTTTAAATCAGTTAATCTTCCCCAAATATAGCTTCGGAAAATTATATTTTATTTCTTAAAGATTTTTTAACAAACATAATTATGCTGTGTTGACAGATTTGTCAATATGTACGGTTTTTAACGCTTTCACCGATAATAAAAAATCATTCCAATCAATTTAAATTTTGTTTGAAATACAGTAAATTATTTTGCTTATTAGAAATTTAATCTATTAGCTTGGAATTAAAATTAAATACAAGCTTAACGAAAAATGCATTTAAGCCTTACGTATCACTTCGGGGGGTCTATCTATCTATCTATCTATCTATATATATATATATATATATATATATATATATATATATATATATATATATATATATATTGACAGTAAAAATGGGGTATCCGTTTCAAATACGAGTATTCACTAAAATAACTTGAAATAATAAAAATGTCGAATTAAAAATAACTCCGTAAATATTTTACAAATTGCTAAACTGAGTAGATATGGGTTTTCGAGAAATATATCTGGATAAAGAAGTGTGCTTTTCTTAAAAAGGGAAAATAGAGCCTTGCTAAAATGTTTCATTCTCTGTAGCCGAGTGGTGAAGCACACCGGATCAAACAGTGTTCTCCTATGGGGAGGGGCATGTTTGATTCCTACTGAAAAGCGTATTTCTTCTATTGAAATTTCTCGAGTTTGCAGGCTGATAGACTTAATATCCGCCGTTTAAAAAATAGAAATAGGGCGTCTATTTTAAATACGAGTATCCACTATAATAACATTTGAAGTAATAGAAATGTCAGATTAAAAATACGTCCATTAATTTTTTTTAGATATTTACGTGTAAGTCCAGTAGTTTACCATAACTTCCCAGCTTAACAGTTAGCTAGTAGATCCCTATTTTAAAGAGTGCTGTACAGTTATTCTTCCCATTTGGCCTTGTGTCAGACACAGCTTCGGTACGATGGTTCGTAAAACCATCACTACAGTAGTGAATTCGATCCTTAATGAATGCTCTACACACGTGGCCTTATGCCTCACTAACATCTGCACACTTATCTATAGGGTCCTTTACCTAAATGAGATAACTGCGTGTTTCCATCTGGTCGCAGTTATAGTATTAGGAAACATTCCCGTCAGATTAAAAGCCAGGATTTCAAACGTTCAGAAAACTGTTGCAACACAATCATCCAACTCCCCATTAACCTTATGTCAAACTAAAACAAATACCTCTATGCTTATAAAGATATACCTATCTACGTAGATAACACTCATAAATAAAAAATATATAAATGCATTTCTTGTACTATCTACTTCCGTGTAGACGCATGTCTAAGTATTTGTGTAAATAAAAAAATTGTAGATGCGTATTAAGAAAAAAAAGAAGAAAAACCCGAATACGAACGAACGGACCCGATCACTCTAATGGATACAAACACATTCACGTCTATAAAATTCCATACTCTACAACAAAAAGCATAAGAAATCACACCGTCTCACTCTAAAAACAAATTGGCTAACCCTGTCGTCGCAAAACAAAACAAAATAAAATCTAAAAAAATCAAGTAAAAATAAATCTAAAAAGTCAAAATGCAGGCGAAACTCTCAGGTCCACCGCCACACAAAATATTTGTAAGAAAATGAAAGTTAAAAGCCAAGGGTTGGCCAAGCCACTGAATTTCCAAGTGTTTGGGGAATTGAGACTTGAATATTTGCGTATGAATCGAGTCGGTCGGCGTCGTGGGATCTGTGACCAACAACGTTCTGACTGGGTAAATCGAGGAAGAAACGATGGTGGAGGCCTGGGGTGGAGGAAGCAGATGGGAAAGACGAAGATGAAGCCACCGACCCCATTGATTCTACCTCTCGGTCGTTTTCTCCTTCGCCATCCCAGTCCCTTATCCGAGCCTCTCTATCGGGGTCGACGATCTGCGAAGCAAGGGCGGCATTGGCGTCACCACAGGCCGCTAGATAAGCAGATTAATTGGTTAGATGGGAGCCCCACAACATGGCGGACTTCGACCTGTGACATTTTACGGAGGGCGGGAAAGAAAGAGAAAAACAAGCTGCTTATACGCTGGCCGATTGTGTTGTCTCAATTTCAATGGATGTGGATATATCCGCACGTGGGTCTGCTCCCGTGTACGTGATTTTGTTCGTGTGTGCCTCCATCTGTATGTAATTCCATGTGTAAGAGATGAGTTTGCGTGTGTCGGTATCTACACATCTTGGTGTCATTGTGTGTGTGCATTTGTGTATGTATAGGGGTGTGTGGATGTGCACGTGTATTCGCAGGTGTATGTATTGGTGCATATCGATGTATGCATGCGTCGGTGTGTGCACTCGTGCATTTATGCGTGCTTATATATGTCTGTCTGTATGTATGTGTCTTCGCATTTCTACATCTACACATTTGCCAGCGGAAATAATTATTGATACATGCCTATGATTAGATATTGCGGTAAATTTATAGAATTGGCACAAGTCTGCAATTTCGTGGATCGTTACTCATTAACAGCGGCTTGATAGTATAGCTTGCTAAAACGGTCGGTGAATTTTCCGACCTTCTACGTGGTGTTTGAAATGCTTATATAAAATATTGTCATGAACTGGATGACTATTCTCATTTGTTTTTTGTTGTTTTTTTCTTTCGTTCACTTCGTTTCGGTCGATTCGTTCTCTAGTTTTATTTGTTAAAAGTTCTGTTCAATGAATTATTCGTACAAATGTAATCGTACAAATATTATTCGTATAAATCCTTGTCTTTGTTAGTATGGACGCTATGTTTCGAACAGCGTGCTTTTCAGTTACTGTTGTGCTATCTATAATTCTAAATTTAACTATTGTCATTTAGACTAATAACCTCATTTGTGTTATTACAAACAAGTCGCTATTCTAAGGCTGTTGAGTAAGCAACCTGGATAGAAAATAAAGAATACGATTCTGACAAGATTTGAATTTGTATTCCTTAGTTTTAGAAACATGTCTAGCCGTGACACCTTTGTAGGTTTTGTTCAAATTGAAATAGTTTTTTCTTCACTACCCCAACTTGTTTTGTTTTTTGTTTTTTCCATTTTCTGTTTATGCGTTTCCCTTTGCTTCTGCATGATTTTGAATTTAATCCTTCTCTTAGACTAGAAGCAACCCAAGTTTAGAAAGCACAGGCTACCCTACTAGACAGATTCATGTTTTTTTCCAAAGGGTATAGTGCGAACATGAATCTAACAGATTTCATATTAATTGTATCAAATGCGATAATGGCATGGAACTTTCTGAGATTAAGCATTATCACCATTACTAGTTTTGACTTGTATTTCAGCTTATTCAAATAGGATAGAAGTTTATGCCTGACTATTCTATATTTCTGGCCCATGTTGTTTACTTTAAGGTCGTAAAATGATGACCTGGAAAATGTAATATATACAATAGAAGAAAATTAAAGAAAAACTAGTTCAACATAGCTACTTCATAGATTAGTTAATTTAAGTTGATCTGTTTTTCTTGTCCCCACCTGGTATAAACAGTCATCTGAGAAGAACGAGAATATATTTGAAGAGTCAGAAGGAGTGAGCAATGAACTGAAGTCATTCTAAACAACGTGATTTACAGAAGAAATTGAATCCTTTGTTAGTGTCGACACTTTCTCTTAACATTTTCCAAGACGCTAAAATGACTACTTACTATGAAACAGTATATCAGCTTTTAAAAATTAACTCCATTATCATGAAGTCATCAAAGATAATTAGTTTAGTTTGACAAAATGGTACTTGTTATGAAAGTATATAGAAAGCTGAGAGTTGTCATTACATTCATCATAGCGAAAAAATATATCCATTAATATTCATCCATATTTGCTGAACGTTGAGGAAGAACAAACAGTCGATGTAAACACAGGTATTGAATAAACGTATTTCAACAGTTGTGACAACGTACGTGTGAAGACACATTCTGACTGTCACTGCACAGATGTCAACTCGCAAAATACAGATCCTTATTCTTGGATGACACAAATCCTTCGCCAACGATAGTGATTATAAGTAAAAATTGTTTTGTAGCTGAAAAACTGTTCTTTCGAATGGTGTAACTATGCAACCTGATGTGCTTTCTCTGGAAATAAATAAGTACGAGGCATTAATTTCGTGGCTTCATTAGTATTTTTAATTTTAAATATTTAACTAGAAAATATCCGTTTGTTTTTTTATTTCTCTTCCGACTTTCACATGTTTTATGACTGAGAGAAACTCATTGTGCCTTCATAGTTTCACGTTTCCACGGACATGAAGTGGAATGATTATATTAAATAAACTGCTACGTCTGATGCTACGAAAGTTGGTTCACTGTCTCGTGCCAGACAATTTTTCTCGAAGGAATCCATCTTGCACATTTGAAAATCTATCAATCGTTCATTTATTTTAATATTGCTACTATATCTCATCTGGTACTCCTGTTATATATCTCGAGATTCTTGACAAAATCCAAAGAAGGGTTTGTAATGTTATCGATCCTGACGTGGCATATTGACTTCAGTTACTTCCCACCACCATGACGTGGATTTCCTCTGTCTTTTCTATAAATATTTTCGTGGCAATTGTTCTAATGAGCTTCCCTTCTTGGTAACTCGACCACATGAATTTAAGCGTACTACTAGATTGGCAATTAGGTCTCATCATTTTGCTGTTGAAATAGCAAAAGATGTAACCGAAAGTTCTATTCTAATATTTTCTTTTCTTACCTGTGGAATTCCCTTTCAATTTCTTTCTTCCATGATACCTACAATCTTCAAATGTTTAAATACAAACGTCATTCACCATCTCCCGTCTTCCTGAAATATGTTGTTTTATTGTCCTAAAGTCTTCTCATTCTCTTTCATTCTCAGTAACCCTTTATGAATTATCGCCTTGATTTGGGTGAAGGATTTTAAAAAATAATGAAGGGCCAAAATATCTACAGATGCGTTGTGAAAAATTATCAAAAATTGGAATAATTATATGTTTAAATATTATGTGAAATTCTAAATTAAATAATTTGCATTAATTTACGAATTAATTGAAATAATATCTTTTTGTCGCTTTTATCGCAACGCTTTTGCTGATGTATTCTTCGGTAGTCATCAGATACATTTGGTGAATGCTGAGTGTCGTTCTACATAATAAAACCGTTATTCTTAGTGGGCATCCCTTTTAATTTAAACGGTGAAATTAATGTCAACCGGCCTAGAAATAAAGTAATGCTTAATAAAGAAAAAATGTACACACACACACACACACACACACACACACACACACACACACACACACACACACACACACACACATATGTGACAGTGAGATCTCCGGAGGTGGATCAAACAAACAGAAAAAAGAAAGAGGAAGGTTAACTGGACGGTAATTGTTGAAATTCGCAGGAAGATGGATTAGAAATAGATTGAAAATTAAAAACGAAATGCGTTCAAAAATCATGTTTTGAAATAATTCCAATGAGAATCGAACCCCAATTTAACTAGACGGAATTCAGTAAGATTGAGGAAAACCAAGTTACTCGTCCTTCTCCCCACTTCCTGTCGATGTGAAAGAGACCATTAAGGTATCCACGAATGTTAGATAAAATAAAAACATATGTTTTCTGTAGAATAACAATAATAAACAGCACTTACCGGCGTAAAGGTCCCAGCTAGCGTCCAGCTGGCAGACAAAATAAAGCAAGTTGTAACTTAATACAAACCCTGCAAACTAACTGATGAATCAAGCTGGTATTTATATAGAAATACCTCCACTCAGGTACCAGCAGCCAATCACAGCCCAAGCAATGGACTATCCCACTTTAGCACAATGAGATGCTCCATGGCAACATAAATAGCTCTCTTTCTAAAGGTTGGATTATTGTTCACTTAGCTTGCTCCACAACTGAGTGTTTATCTCTACCACGTGATTTTTCTACATGGCGCTGCGAACAGGATATATGACACCCGAAGATTGGGAACTCTTCTTCATTGAAGCAGGCCTATCCACTGACTCGGCCAAAACTCATGCAACAAGTTTTGCAGACGAGAAACTGACAATCGAGTGCCTTCAAATGCTGGATCGATCCATGCTTATGGAGCTCGGAGTTGCATTAATGGGAGAAGCCCTGTGTATCATCAAGCAGGCTAAGGAAGCCACCACCCAGACAACCCACATTCAGGCACTAGCAGCCAAGCCTCCCCATCTCAATCTCGAGATGACACCACAACAATTCAGGAAGTTCCGAATTGACTGGGATGTCTTTACCAAGATGACAAATATGCCAAGCTCCCAAGCTAATATTCACCTATACAATTGTGCTGATGAGACTGTGCAAAACGCCATAATCAACACACACCCTAACTTCTTTACCACTGATCCAGATAAGCTACTTGACATGGTAGAAGCGCTGGTCACCCAGAGGTCAAGTCCTATTGTCCATCGCCTTGCTTTTGCCTCCATGTCTCAGGATGCGGATCAGCCAATACAAAGTTACCTTGTCCGCCTCAGAGCCGTAGCTGTTGATTGTAACTTTACCTGCCCCTCGCGTGAGCATGACCTGTCTGATATATACATCAAGGACCAGATCATCCGTGGAATAGCAAATGACACACTCCAAGCTGACCTACTGACCAAAGCTGGGGCACTTAAATCCCTTGAGCAAAATATCCGCCATGCTGAGGCATTTGAATCATCATTGCGAAACCAAACCTCAATGGCTGGCGCTTCAGATACAGCCGCTGCTCGGCTATCAACATACTGCAGACAGAAGGGTACGCCACAAGCCAACGAGGGGATCCGTACCAGCACCTATTGCAACTACAATGTTAAACCAAACCACCAGGCTTGCTTAGGTTGTGGCAGCCACCAGCATGGCACCTCAGGAACTGGATCCCGCCGGCTAAAATGTCCAGCATGGGGACAAACATGTAGTAATTGTGGGAAGCCCAATCACCTATCGAGGGTAT